TTTCACCTTTTAAAATTAAATATCTCATTTTATAATTTTGTCATTATTTGTATTTTATTTTTTTTAAACAATACACAAAAATTAAAATAAGAGGACAAAATATAGTGTTCACACTATCTAAATCTAATTATACATCTCACAATATTTTAAAACTTACCCAATTATTTTATAACTAATAATAAATAATAAAATTTATTGACAATAACATCACCTTAATTTACTAATTTTAAATTACCATTAAATCATTTTTTATTTTGTACTAGATTCATGTCAGGAGCCTCAAGTTTGGCTAGACCAACTTGGACTAGCCCACCATCAAGTAAGAACCCCTATATAAATAAAAAGTTCCACCTCACACATATGTTATTTGGAACTGTAATCCTTATTTGTTTTCATTATGCATACCTCCTTTGGCTTTATGCCTTTTGTCTATGCACAATGATCCGCCATTATTCGTGGTTGTCTACTCCATAGACACCGTTATTCCGCAAATCCAACATCAACATTTGATCTCAAGGACAATGTTGTAAAAATGTAGTGTCGAAATGTAAAAGTGGATCGTGTCTACGTTTTTATGACCAAAATCGAGTCAAAACGATAGTTGAAACGGGTTTTGAGTCGAAACGGTTCAAACGTAGTGTTGAAATGTAGAAACGGTTGACTCGGCGAGTTTATCGAGTTGACTCAATTTTTTTTAAAAAAAACACACAATTAGATCTGATGAAGAGACGAGAAAGAGAAGCAAAGACGAAGAAGAAGAAGGAGAAGGAGAGTTTCATCGCCAACACCTTCACCGTTGTTGGTTGTTACTCCAACCCAAACCAAAACACAAAAGAAAAAGAGCATTTCAAGTTGCAGTTGTAGAAAGAAAAACTGATGACATTTCTTCTTACGTGTTTATATGCTTTCTTTTCTCTTCTACTCTCGCTTTAGTTTTGGCACTAAACAGTTCTTGATGCAAAGCATTTAAATTATATCCACAATTAAGAAGGGAGAGAGAGACAACAACGTCAATATTAATAAAAGGGAAGAGGAAGAGACTCATCGCCACACTTATGCTTATATATTATCAATAGCGGACCTAGAAATTTTTTTAATGTCTGCACACTTAGAATAAAAGAATAAAGGAAAAAAAATTTAAAGAAAAATTTAAATATATTAAAATACAAAAGAATATATATAAAAAAACTTTAACTTAATATAAAAAAGTAATCAAGAGTCACTAAACTGTTACAATAGAACATTTTGGGTCCTCAACAAAAATTACGAACCTCAATTTAATCTCTTAGGGAAAAAAAGTCTACTCATGATCCTTCAGAATTCAAAGAGAGACTCAGATAATCAAAATCGTGGTCTTCTGAAATTCAAAAAGATTCACATTAATCTCTCAAAAGGACTAACATGGGTCTATTTTAGATTTTAGAGTGATCACGAGTCAACTTTTTTGTAAGAGATTAAATTAGATCCTGTGATTTTTGTTCATGACCAAAAATATATTTTATTTTATTTTTCTCCAAAAAAATTATGTGTGCACTAGCAACACTAAAATATACACAGGTCCGCCACTGTATATTATTATAATCAATGCTTTAAGTAATTAATAAATTCATGAATAATATAAAAACATATATAATATATTTTTTTTTTGCATAGTTCAAAAATATATATATATATATATATATATATATATACATGTAATAATAAAAAAAATTATATATATTTTTAGTCATTAATTAACTTAAATTTAATAACTTATAAGATTAATACATTAAAATCATTCTATATAAATTAAAACAAAGATTAAAATTGACATTCTTATAAAATAAACATGTTTGTGGGTTTTGGTTTCATATGTGTTGGATATATATTTTATTTTTAATACGTTAGTAAACTCTTACGTTTCGTTTACGTTTTGCGATTTTACGTTTTTGCTCACCCTTATAGTTTTTACGTTGACTCTACGTTTTATGTAGGGATGGGTAAACTTCAATTCCTATTAAACATTGGTGAACACACTCAGTGCAGCGCAAAACCATCAGCACCAGCAACAGCCTCCCCAGGAGGCGCAACAACAGCGTGTGCAGAACCTTAATATGCTGGAAAATAACGTCTCAATCAGGCCCACACACAGCCTACCAAGGAGAAGACCCCAAGCGAGCTATGATGGCCTTGATTTTGCAACACCTTGATGACATGGAGAGAAGAATGGGGAAATAAATAACATGAAAAAAATGCCTCTCCACCAGTGCCCAATAACCAAGGTAGTAACACATAGAGCGGAATGCATGACGTCCACTCAGACCAGCAATGAGCAAAGCCTGCAGTCCAAGCAACAAGCAAGCTTGCATATCTAAAATATTCAACCTCACTTATAAATTCTTTCTATAAAATAAAAAAAAGCCTCGCTATAAATAAACAATTTTATAAGAGTTATGTCGTAGGAAAAGTGATTCTGTAATGTTATAGAGATTCGTTTTGCGTGCCTTAAGTTTTTTTTTTTGCTTCAAAAAGCGCGGATCCCACAAAATATCGTGTGTGTAAATTTTTTTTTGTGTATGATGAATGTAAACCCCATAAATAAAGTATTCAACCTCACTTATGCTCTCTCAAACCCTAATTCTTATTTGGTGTCACTTACGCGTGCGCACACAAAGGGGTGCTAAACGAGTCAGGGGCCTTTGGTTCGGCTCGTGAAGGCCTAAGCTTTTATGTCTAAAATTGATTGTTGGAACCAGACTTAGACTTGTATAAAAGCTCGTTTAATAAAAAGGACTCGGGTTCCAATTTAAAAGCTCGGCCTTAGAGCCTCTCAGGCTGACCTAATATATTAATTTTTATTTTATTTTATATTTTTTATACTACTTGTGATAACCTTCTCTCTTTCCTCAATCCATTTCATCCCATTTCTAAACAGACTTTTTGAATGATTTTATTTTATATTATGCTGTTTGGATATACATTAAATTTATGAATATTTATGGAATTACTAGTGTTGTTAATTGTATATTTTGTTTGGATAAATTTTTGTTGTCTTATTTTGTTTTAAATAGGCTAACAGGCTAAACCAGGCTTTTATTTTTTGTAAATAAGACAGGCCACAGGCTGAAATTACATTCATAACAGGTAACAGGCTTGGTCAAGCTGACATATTTAAACACATGCTTAGCTTTTTAAGACCAAAATTCGACTCGGCTCGACTTTACCCGTTAACACCGCACGCACACATATCTTTTTTGGCTTCTTTGCTTTTTACCTGTGCACAGTAATATGCTACTCCAAAGATGCCGCTTGTCCTCAAATCCAATATCAATCTTTGATACTCAGGGATCAAACATATTCAACGACTGCAAATTAATCCCTAATTATATTCTCTCCCATGGTCTCTCACCTTTCTCAAACCGTCATGCTCTTCGGCGAATATGACGATGGCATGCTGGATCATCTGAAATATGTGATAAAAAAAATTGACATTTACTTAAAATGACGTGCTCAAATATGCTCTTCTTCATAATGATGTATTGAATTTCCAATTGTGAAACATGACTTTTATTCATCTTAATTAAAATTTTAACTCTCACATTTTATTTTTCATTTCAATTCAGTTTCAAGGCCTAGCTTCCAAAAAATGAGACTGAAATTAACGCAAATCAAGTGTCTAGGCGAATGTAGAGGTTGGAACATCAGCTCAGGATACAAGAAAACATATTATACATGGCTTTCATCGAATTTCGTCGTCCTCACACTCCAATCTCCAATTATTTCATCAAAATTAGCAGATATGGAGAGACGATAAGAGATGAGAAAGAAAAGAATTAAGATTAATTGACCATCGTTAAATTAAATCTAATTAATTATATCAGTAATAAGAGTGACAAACTTAGTGGTAAATATAACGTCACCTTTTATATTGTTATAATTTATTAAAATATATCATAAAACATCGCATAATTTAAACTTTTTTTTTCCTTTAATGTTAACATAATTATACATAATATTCAAAAATATATTATCAAATTATCAGGTTGTTTAAGTCTTGGCCCAAACACGGGACATGCTTGAGCAAGATTGGGTTAAATTAAACCCATCCCAATCCATCATATAAACACCATCTAGTGTTAATTTACCTCACATGTCATCTTACAATAGGGTGAGGTTATTTAGGTAATCATGGTATGCATTGTCAATCTTCCAAACAGCTTTCCTATTAGATTGCATTTTATTTCAGATAGCTCATCAAAAGATTAAGCAAAAGAAGTGTGTGACATTATTCTTCACTATAATACAATGCAACCTACTTTATAAAATGTGATGCACCCAACCAAAAAATAACCCTATTGAGCTTCTTAAATACTCCCTTGTCACCCCGCTCCTTATAAAATGACAAGCTTGCGTATTTTTTTGGCTGCTAACCAACCATGTTTGCATTGCCAACTTGTTCTGGATACTCGCCTTAGGCTCACCAATTGGATCCAATCTCTTAAAGCCCACATCTAGAACTTTCTAAAGAGCACCCATGGCAAGCCATAGAGCCTCATCACTGGAATATCTCACTTTCTCTACACTGCTGTCCTTGTACACTGACAATGGACAACATGTCTTGCCTCAATACAAGACATGACTTGATGAAACAGCTCATGGGACTAACCGGTTCACGCCCCCATGCTAGAGGACTCTCTTCTCTAAATACCCTCCTCACACATGGAGGAGGGGGTTTCTTCTCCACCTTCTACATTTGTTGTTACTCTGCCCACAGGTAGAGTCATCCTTGAAACACCCCCCCCCCCCCCCCCCCCCCCCCCATGCATACCATGAAAAGCCTCACTAGTGCTTTGATCTCTACCATTACAACTATGAACACCCCCTATATCAACATACTTCACCTTCCATGGGACAGAATTTTATGTACCCCGCGATACACAACCTAAACAACAAACTATATTAATCTCGTACATTTCAACATCACTTGCCCGAGCAACACATTCACACCATAAAATGATTAACAAGATTCCTGTTTGCGCATTCAATTCCCATAGAACTCACTTTAAAAGATATCATACTGTTATAGCCTTCAATAATTTAAAATAAAAGCAGACTGATATGATGTGACATAGTATCATAAACTATGACTAATATCCTAATCCCGTTTTCTGTTCACCAAACAAACTGGAAGAAGCCATTACATCGCAGCTTGATATCATGGGATAAGATCCAAAACCAACTACAAAATAATTTACATACACCTCCACGAGTATCTTTGGCAAAGAGGATCAGGACTTTATTATCTTCAGCAGTGTAGCAAGAATACCAAAATCACTGGTTCTTGAAAGACTGGAAGAAAAAGAAAAAGAAAAAAAAGTTAAAAGATGATCATGGCATTGTCAGTAGCTGATTCAATACAAGAATGACTGCATACAACCTCTATATTTTTTGAGATATCCTTGATCTGCTCAGCTAGCTCCTGCTTCTTCTGAACGGCTGCCAGAATATATAACACTAGGGTAAAACTGATTTGTTCACATGGTCAATAGAATAACAAAAGACAATTATTTTGCTACTACTACCTTTGTTTGAAATATCTTCAATCCTCCTTGATGTCCTTACTGCAAACCTCTGAAATGAAGGGCTGGGAAACCATAGTGTCACATTAACAAGAGATAATGTTAGTAAACAAGAAAACAAGAACTATACACACAGTAAGTGAACTTAGATAAAAAGCAGAAAAAACTTGAACATAAAACGCAAACATGCTTCAAAATCCGTTCTACTTGATTTGGAATCCAAAAGGCAATTATAAAAGCACCAATCCTCTTTTACCTTGAAGTTTTACTCTCTTTTACCCTCATAAAATATGATTTACTCCCTTTAAAATCTTGATTTTGCAGCAAACCTTTTTATTCTAGTTCTCCCACTGTTTAGGGGTAAAGATGCACCCCCACTGATGAGCGTTGCTCTCCAAGAGAATTCCAAAAAGCATAGATGCTAAATTAAATTTATGTGCCCGTTGACTTGATACCTTAATTAGTTTATTTAGTAGTAATACATTTACTATCACATTGAATTTTTAAATATAATTTAAATTATGCATTTGATACATAGCATCAAATATCGATTTATTTACCGATTATCATATAACAACAGTAGTGTTTTTAAAGGCTGGTGGCAGTTCATGGTGCAAGCCAATAATCTGCCATGGAATTATGGTGGATGCTGTTGCAGTAAATGACGGATGCATGATGGCCATGTTAAAAAACTATAAAATATATTATAAGACTTACATAATCTATATGATAAAAATCTAACAACTTGTATGAAGAATAATAAACATAATTCAAATACTTTTTAGCATATCAAACTTCCAAGTAGTATTACAAACTCTAATAATACAAATGCAAATAAAAGGAAAACAAAACACAGACAAGTACAAACTCATAACATAATGTGTCATACATAATGTCAATGGAAAGTAAAAACTAACAACAATTGCTACAAATCATAACAAGGATAAAGGGGTGAAAAAAGGAAGGTGGGTTTAATCAAAGAAAGAAGCAGAAGTGAAAATACAAGCCATAACAAATATGTGTAAGTTAATAGGTAAGGGGACACAAATGAATTATATGAAAAATGGCCGCCCTGAAACTGAGACAACGAAACAGAGGATTTCAGGTGAAGGAGACTCACTGTGAGTATTCACGGCAGTGAGTATTCAGGTGGACGCGGTGGATTGTTCATGGTCATTCACTAATTTGGAACTTTTTGGCTTCTTAGTATGAGATGAGAAGGCTCTGCTTTGTTCAAATGAAAAAAAAAAGCATGCGAGAAAAGAGATTTCACGAGAACCAAGACATTTTAGAACAGAGGGAGACATTAAATTATAGGTCTATGGTCACTAGAGTCCACAGTAGGAAGGGCAAGCAATGATGTAGACAATCTATTATACTTTAGTGGCTGACATGTATGCTCAGAATTGGGGAATGTGTGAAGAATTCTATTATGTTATGAAGTCATGAATAAAAGGGGAATGGATCACGTATGAGGTAGGCATTCTATGAGTGAATTTGGGACACCTCTGGTGTATTGGGAGAGCCACTGATTTTTCAAAGTGTCAGTAATATTTTCTTTCTTTTGTTACTGTAATTTGGATTTCCCAGAAACTATTATCAATATACATTCAGTTCTTTCTTTTTATTCACTTTGATTCTCTGGTACCTATCGTTAACACTTGAATGAGAGATGCTGTAGGAATCAGAGAAAATGCAGTTGCCAGAGAAGAGATAAAGATGCATAAAAACTCACTCATTCACATTTTAGAGAGGGTTTGCGAGAGATGCTGAGTTGCGAAAAGGTTCAAGTGAGGTTAGGTTGCAGAGATAGAACAGCTGGACAAACTAGGGATTTTGGAGTGAGGTGGACCACAAAATGCTCATCAGGCCACCATCTCGGTCATGGGGCCACCTTGGCACTATGAAAAGAATGGCCACCATGAAAAGTATGACCACCATTTTCTGCCATGTGAAATCCGCAATGCCATGACTTCCTGTTGGCGTTTCTTAGATTTCCGCCACAGCATGGCAGAGTGGCACCATCATTGTGGCAATTTAACAACACTGAACCATGCTCACATGCACCCACAGTTTTAGGAATAAATAATTTTGTGCAAATTTGACGAACAATAATAATATTGCCTTTCCAATTTTGAAAATGCAATAGTCAATCTATTAATTACACTAATCAGAGCCAAAACTACTTTATGTCAGTCTTAACAAAACAAAGAAAAAAAAGGAAAGAATCAATTTCTGTCTCTGCTAATGGCTCAAGTTTAAGCTGATTAAGAATCAACAGTATGTCTTTGTCACATAATTGATGGCAGGGATCACTGTAAAAGAGTGTATCAAATATTGATGGTTCACAGGATAAGAAGGATGTGAGGGTTTGCTACTTAATTTTGGATTTTTGGCCCATAAATATAAAGCATAATATTGTTTGCTTTCCAACTATGTAAAGGTAACATTAATGCTGTTTACAAGGTTATTTTCCATGCTTTCAATATATCAGGTTCAGGTAATGTGTGCATCTTCAAATGCAGATAGTTCCTTGTGCATTGTGATACACAAAACCGTATTTTTAATATTCTAAACATAATTATCAATCGCAGATTGCAGCACATAACACCCAACTCCAAAAAAACCATAGAGGTATGGTGGATAACCTTATAGCCTCTACAGTGAAGTCAAGAGAAAACAGAGGCTGAAGTGTGATGTGGTAGAGCCTTGTTGGAAAACAGCAAAATAGAGGAGACAAGAAGGGGAGTGGATCAAGAGATAACAGAGGCAAGGAATCTTGTAAGTAGAAGGTGAAGTGGGTTGAAGAAAAAATAGTTCTAACGAGAGAGTGAACTCTCATTAGCTTGCCGGAAAACTGCTGAAAATGTGATGAGTTAGGCCGAAAGTGAGTCGAGAGCGATAAAGAGGCAGGAGTCAAGAATCAGTCAAGAGATAGGGTTGCAAACTTCAAAGGTCACATTATTACAAAAAGGGGTAATAAAACGAGTATGCCCCTATAATCTGGAATCACAAATCTTGGATTGAATTTCGAATCATAAATTTTGATATAATTCACGATATGATACTGAATCGCACCATTAGTGATTCATGTTTCGATACCTGGCCAGTTGCAATACATGTCTTCGATACGTATCGTTCAACGCGATACAAATCGATATATCGGACTATGAATTGCAGTTTCGTGCGATTCAGTATCGAATCGCGTATCATATCATAATTTACGATTCGGAAATCAAACCAAGATTTGCGATTTTCAATTTGGAAATTGAAACGACAATCCAATCCAAATCCAATCTAATTTGTGATTCAAATTCAAAAACAAATATGAAAAGTCACTATTAATTAGGGAAAGGAAAAAAGATGTGATTTGTGATGCAAATTTAAAAATGAAACTGGAAAGTCACTATTAATTAGGGAAATGAAAGAGATATGATTTGTGATTTAAATTCAAGACATGGGAGATGAGTCAGATGACTACAATAATGATAGTGATATTGATAGCATAATTTGGTTACTTATCTATTTTGCTAATTATATTTTTTGGAATCTGAATTATATGATATTAGATATTTTTAAATTATTTTTTATTATGTTTATGAATCTTATGACTTGATACGATTTGATACAATTCATTATTCTCGATAAAAAAAATCAAACGATACACGATATGTATTGCGATTCAACAACCTTGTATACAACTATGTCAAGTCTTTCCGTAATCAATGAATATTTTCAAAACTTCAAAATTAATGCAACAGTCAGTTCATTAATTCTACTAATCCACGTGCTAATATAGCTCGGTCAGCCTATCGGGAGCTTTCCCGCGCAATCCCATGTATGGTTAGTTCAGGATTTCCAAATTTTCCATCTTTCATATTTTTCTTTCACCTCTTGTTTGATTCCCTCAATCCGAAAAAGAGGGTAAGTGATCAAAGAAATAAACAATAACAATCTTCGAATAATGATGTTTGCTCTAGTCAACACAAAAGCATATGATTCATGCACAATCCACACAGGCAATACTAATATGATAAAACCCATAGCACAAGTTATCATGGGTATACATACATACATACATATATATATATTCATGCAGTAGAATCTCACAAACTCATTAAAATTCCAGTGCAAACCCTAGAGACACTTAAAAAAATCAGAAAAATTGAAGCTCTCTCTCGCTTTATCAGGGAAGGTTACAACCTCAAAAATCAAACGCATGAGTCAAAAACTAAATTCTATAAAATAAAAATTAAAAAGGTGGCGAAACTACGTACTTGTTGGCAAGACTATTGACAACCACTTCATTCACCACGTAAGAGATAACCCTGTGCAAGAAATTCCCTCCACCGGCCATATTTGTCTCTAAGCTTCAAACTGCAAACGATTCAAACATCACACAACACAAAAGAGCCAAAACCATTAAACTGTTCAAGCCTAAAATTTCAAATTTTCATGCAGTTATCAACAATCTCTAAATTTTCGTTCAGTTTTTCTTTTCTATGTGGAAGAAAAAATAAATTCAAACAGAACAAAGAATAAATACTAGGATTTCAAAAACAGAAATGGGAAACTGAGAATTGGAAAAATAAAAAAAGCGAAGAGAAAAAATTGGAGAAGAATGGCGAACCTTGATCGAAATTGAGAGGGAAGATTGAAGAAGAATCTGGAATACAAGAAACAAAAAAAAAATAGAGCTTTGAAAACGACACGTTAGCGTTGAGCTTCGTTTATATAGACGACAACATGGGTAACAAAGGGTTTTGTGGTAAAACTGTAATTTTAGATACTAGGATGATTATTTTTTTTTAGATAATTCCCCGTTAATTATTTAGGTTTTTTATGGACTAATATTAAAAATAATTGAACACATATTTTCATCCAGTCTGATCAATTCTAGTGCTTACCATCTTTTAATATACCAGGATGGTTACAAATATGGGTTTTATAATTCTTACGTAACATGAGAATTAAAATTTTTCTACACACCTTTCGATTTTTGTGCTGATATGAATCTCACACATGACTTTTTTTAATATATGGGTCCCGCATACTTTTATCTCTATGACATAAGAATTCCCTTCTCTCATGTAACATGAGAATCGTAAAGCCCTATAAATATAATAGTAAAGAGCTTGTCGTTCAAGAAAGGATCACATGTACTAAGTTGTGGCTGCTTTTTTTTTTTTTTTTTTCAAGTACAAAGTTGTGGCTGCTTTTGATCTCAAACAAATTGAAAAGTAGGGATTTAATTAATTATAGTTCAATAAATATGACCTAATAAATTACAATAGTTAAATTAACGAAAATCAATATTTAAGATTTAATAGTAAGAGGTAATAAAAAAAAGAGGTAGTAAATATAACTTCTCACTTCTTTTATATATTGAAAAGTAAAACCATTTAAATATAATTTTGTAAGATATTAAATATATAATGTTAAATCATTTTATAAAATCCCTAAATCTTAGTGTGTGTTTGAGAGCTTTTACTTTTAGTATTTCTTTTTTTTTACTAGTTAGCTTTTACAAAAAATACTAGTTAGCTTATTTTAGTCAAATATTATTTTACAAAAAAATTTGGGTAGGATATTGTAACAACTAACTAGTATTATTATCAATGTTACTACCAATCAATTTCACCGTTAGATCGATTATTTGTTGATCCAACAGTTATATTTATTTCCATCTTTCTATGGTTATAATTTCCCATATTTAATGTAAAAGCATTAAATATGCGAAATCATAATCATACAAAGATGAAAATAAATATAAAGTATTAAATATGAGAAATCATAACCATACAAAGATGAAAATAAATATAACCGTTAGATCAACAACGATCTAACGGTGAAATTGATTGGTAGTAACACTAGTTGGTTGTTATAATATCTTTGCCCAAAGTTTTTATCTTTAAAAAACTTTTTTTTATAAAGAAAGAAAAAAACTCCTAGAAGAAGTTTTTTTAAAATGTATATCATCTTTTTGGAGTTCTTACTTCTTATATTTATTTTCCAATTATATTTTTATTCTAAATATTTATTCATAATTATTATCATTTACTCTAATAACAAATCATTTCATTTCTATCCTTTTTAAAACTCTAAGAGTAATTTTATATAATCATCAAATAACTTTTAATTTTATTTTTTAAGCTCTTATTTTAAACTTTAACTTAAAAAGTAATTTTTATCTTAAAAAAAAATACGTGCCCACTAAAATTAAGAGAATATTGTTACCACGGAAGCTCTTATTATTACCACTGAAGTTAAGTTACCTGTTTACCAAAAAAAAAAAAAAAAGTTAAGTTACCAAATGTGTCCACTGAAATTAAGAGAATATTGTTTTCAATAAAAGTTTAGTGTATATTTAGATTAATTTATTTTTATGTAAAAAAATTTATAATAAAATCTGATTGATAGAGCTTTTTTCTTAAAAATTAATCCAATCAAAACCTGCATGGAAAATTAATCCAATCAAAATCTGTTCGAATCTCTCCGGTACCACCTTTGGGAGGGGTTTAAAGCCTTAATCCTGGACCCGCCCTAAATCGGATTAGTTGCGAAGCAATGAACCAATTGGAATATTTCCAAAAAAAAGTATCCAACTCGGTGCATTTTTTTCTAAATAAGAAAAAATTTATTTCATTTGAATTCATATTTTTTTAATTTTTGTTTAAATCCTAATTTTTTTAGTACATTAAATCCTAATTTTTTTATGTCTGTGTGAAAGATATTGGTATTACTGTAATACCGAAAAGAACTCTAATGAAAGAGAGGTTACGTCATGCAACAAGTGTTAATAAAGACTTCATACTCACAAATGACGTATTTAAGAAAGAAATGCTAAATGATAATTAATTGCAATGGATGTATAAGTCCAAGTGAGTCTTACAATTTCAGGAGTTTAAAATCTCAAGGGGCGTTTGCTATAAGGATTTTTTTATATAGATTTTTTGATATTTGGAATTTTGTTTACATATAAGAATTGTGAATTTTTTTTTCAAAAACATGATTTTCTCGAAATTTTGATTTGTGAACACTTTATAACAATATTATTAAATCCGGACCGGTGATCGACCCGGTCGGAGTACTGGGTCAGTGGGTCACTGGTTCAACCGCATGAACCGGATATATATATAAATTTATATTTTATACTCAATTATATAATAAATATTTTAAATGGTGCAAGTAGTTTAGTAATTTATATCTTCATAACAAGGGTTCGATTCCCACTAAATGCTATTTTGAAATAATTCTATTAAATAGATAATATATATATATATATATATATATATATATTAAATGGTGCATATTAACTAACAAATAAACTCAGCTTAGTGGTAAGTATTTGTTGGACATCTTCATAGGACTTGAGTTCGAATCTCAGCGGCTGCAGTGATGATGGTGCCACTAGCGCCAGCAGTGCAGTTTCTGAAATGACAAAAATTCACTTTTCCAGCATATTCTTGATAATCGTGATTTCTAAACATAAAAAAATTTCTCCTCTCTCCTTTTAAGAGTCATCAGTTTGGGGTGATTAGCTCAAAATTATGTGAGCAATTGTTTATACAAGAAAAAACAGAAATACATTTACTAATTTACCCTACAATCTCATGTATTTTTATTGAAAGATTATACCGATCCAAACAAGGTATTCATTTTGTCTTAAAACATTTTTTTTCCTTATTTTCCCCTCCCCTAATATAATATTATAAAAATTCACTACTTGACATCAAAATATTTAAAAACATTTTATTCAATTTTACTGTTCCAAAATTGTTGCTGCACAATTGTATAGGAAGATTATGCAGAACTTCAATAATTAAAAAAATTTGAATTTTTTTTTTCTTTAATGTTTTTGGCCAACCACTGTACATTGAGGAATAACAAATTACTATGCTCAGGTTTGATCCAAAAAGTTAGTCCTTATCCTTAGATTAACTAGAAAAAAAGGAAGAAAATGGGACTGTTTTTATTTGAAAACAATGTCACAAGTCATGAAATTTCTGGGCCTTACTTTCACTTGCAAGTATGAGACTTATTGTCAACACACAGGTTAGTTGTGGAGATGACTATGTATGTGTCAATGTAACCCTTTTAGGTGCTTTGATGTGCTGGAATCTGCATATAGGTATTCATGATGCATTATATTTATATCACACAAATGGCATTAAAAGATGAATGTACAGACACAAAATAGTTGACATCTTTTCATGTCAGAAAGAGGAAAAAAATAAAATAAAATAAAGGCATGCATCTTTGTACAAAGATATTTGTTATAACATTGCCAAAAATATTTGATTCCATGTATCAGGAACTCCAGGCAAACACCAATGTATGCAATCTGCATTTTGTGGATCAGCTCTTTCCTCTTCAGTTAAGAGCTTCCCTCCATTTTCAGTGTAAACTGAGGAATGACCATCAATCCTGTACTCTGAGATCTGTGTTATGTTAATGAAAGTCACTGGAACTTTCATTCTCTTCACCACTTTGGTCACCACACTCATTATGCTCTTATCAGAACCAGTTCCCCAGTGCTTCTTTTTCCTTACTGGCTTTGTTTCATTGAAGCATTTGACACCTTCCATGTTGCCCCAGTCTTCACTTCTGAGAAATGAAGACAACTTATACTTGTTAGAATCTCTTAAAGAACCATTTCAACCCAAAATCTTAAGGTGTTGAGTGAAGGTCTTTTTAATGGTTTATATTATTCTCTAACACACTCCCTCACGCAAGAGTCCCTTAGACTTGAAATTTAGATATTGCACAGATCCCATTTTTGGTTTACCTTCTTGTGCTCTTATTTAATTTCACTAGAAAGTGGGGGACGGTGAGGATCAAACTCGTGACCTTATGGTCATTGAGACTCTGATACCATGTTAAGAACCATTTCAACCCAAAACCTTAAAGTGTTGGGTGAAGATCATTTTAATGATTTATATTATTCTCTAACAGAATCTTAAGCAATTTACTGATAACGTTCAACAAATTCGAGGTGTATAAAGCAAAGAACTACTTGACTAATAGCCTTATAGCTTAAGCTGGTATAGAAAGCTGAACTTGAAGTTTTCTTAAGAGAGAGACCTTGTGTGTGTAGGTGACATGGTTGTGAAAAAGACCCTGGTTTTGTTTGGATTGATAGTTGTGTCGACCCAGTTGGCCCAGGTCCTCAAAGCTAACTTATAAGCCACTGGTGCATCAAATTCTTCAAACCCTTCTTCTCCATTGGAGAATGAACCCCATCTGAAATTCATAAACTAGGTGTTAGACACCATTTTCTTCCTTTTGGTTAAAAGATCAAATGCCATAAGAGACTGTTTAATGTTTATCATCAATAACAAAAAGATGAATGACATAGAATATGCTGATTTAGTGAGTAGTTTAAATCAGATAGGTTCAAAGATAACTTACAGTGACTTAATCTTGGCACTACTCATCCACCATACATAGGTGTTGAAAACAAGGATATCCACTCCAGTCCAGTTTTTGGCTCTCTCTGCTATAGCATCCACTTTTATTATCCTTTTCTTTGTGTCTCCTATGATATTGATATCAGTGTTGGACTCTACAAGGTATGGGGCCCAATAGAATTCTATAGTAGCATTGTATTCCTATGAAAGCACAGATACAAAAGGAATTAGCTTGAATTTTCAAATGAGTTGATGTCCAAGAGTTAGTATGTTCTATTCAAAAGAAATCCTAATAGTTACAACTTTTATTGTATTTGTGTCAATTACATGATTGAGAAGCAGAAGAGCCTCTGGTTAAGTTAGTAGATGATCGTGTCAAATACATGATCTTTGACCATCTATTCAATGTATCAATACCTTGGCTTGGAAGACTGAATGAATGCTCCCTAGTTTCATAGATTTCTGATTTTGAGGTATGACCCATTCTACCAAACAGACAAAAGATTCCCACTGGTTTCTTTGCAGTGAATCCCCTACAAATAGCAGCCTTTTTCCTCGAAGCTTTTTGAGGGCTAGCTGTGGATTGAATCTACAAAAAGTAGTCATTTTGGAATGTGGGTTACATCAGCTAAACATGAATATCCATGGCCAAAAAGTAGGTGACACATAAATCAAGTTCTGCAATCACAATTGGCATGTTGGAAGTGTGAAACTTACTGGGGTAAGGTACAATCTTCTGGCTGCCACTCCCAATAGGGGTAATCAGAATCTTTCCTCCCATTCTTGATACAAGAGAATTGTCTATCTATATAAGGGCAACTTATGTCAGAGTAAAGAGGCTTCATTGAATGGTTAAACACCCATTTTCCATTGGCAACATTGCACTCCTCTGGGTCAAAATCAAACCTGTCATCAATCCATGATGCATTTACAACCACCTCTTCTACTCTTTTATCACCTGCTAGGACAATCATGATATGAGACATCACTGCATTAGAATAAAAAATGGTAACAAACATAGCAGGCAAAGATGAGATGAGAATTGTGCTGTAGCATATGTGAAGCTAACTTACTAGGTTTTGGTTTTGTGTTCTTTCTAGGACAGGATTTGAACTTGAAAATGGACTTGGAGGAAAAGAAACTGAGTCTTTCTGCATACAAGACAGCTATGAAGAGAAGAACACTGATTGTAATGATAGTGATGGGTAGAGGCAGCTTTCCTCTGGAAGGCTTCATTATTCCTGAAATGATCATGGAGAAGGAGATGATAGAAGCCAAAATGTGGAAGAAAGAGAATGAATAGATGCACAGCACAACAGAATGATGAGGACATTATACAAAGGGTTTAGAGGGAAGGTTTTATGCATTTTTGAGTAGGAGTGAAGTTAAAGCATAGTATACTTTAGTAATTAAGAAAAAAAAAAAAAAAATTGGTAAAGGATACTGGAGGTTAAGGAATGAGTTGAAAGGCTAACATCTTGGGCTCCTCATACAATGTCAATGAAGAGGAAGCTATGCATTAAGCTACCTATCATGCTTTCTAGTTTCTACATTATTACGTAGACTCTTTAGAATATTCATCATGTGGGAAATATACTAATGGAGGCTTGTTACGTCTCTGATTCTCTCTCTTATGACTTGTAGAATATTCAACAGAACTTTTCCCACTATCTAGCACATGTTTCTCAGAAATGATTACTATACAGAAGAATTGTTTCTTACACCACCTTTTTACATTACTTTTCGATATACGGATTAAGCATTGTGTATGGCTCACACACATGATTGGTCTATTGTGCAGTGTTGAACGAATCCCCAAGTAGTATTTGTAATGTACACGATTTGCACAACAAAAATACTGTGGAAATATCAGAATTCATTTAAGTGACAATTTGAATTTGTTTAAGCATTGAGATTATGGACATTTTTTGAAAAGTTATTAAGTCTAAATCTTATTATTAATGACATTATTTCAAGTTAATATGGTATCTGTTTTAAATTATACACCTAATTGTGATTTTCTATTGTTCTCCGTTTAATAGGTGGAATCATGTTCAGCAATTGAATGTGGTTCTACTCAAACAACTACCAAACAAGAATGCTAAGATCACAAATCACGTTTGGAAGTGATTCCTAACATTGAACTAAACATGCCCTTCTCTATGACACAGAATGTAATCAAGCAATATTGTTCTTCTTTTCACAATCTATATCTATCTCTGTAAATTATGCAAGGTTGTTCCAATATTGAGTGGGACGTGATAACTTCCAATATGTTTTTATTTGAATAAACTTTTCTTTCTGATAGCAACAATTAGTTACATGGGCAACTTTCTTCCTTTCTTTCTTTTCTCTCCCTTTTTCCTGTATATTTATTTGTCTTTTTGTGATTTTTTAGGAACTTTGAAAAACTTGTACCTTCTTACCTTTTTGCCATGCTCTTTCTTCCAAATCTTTAGAAGCTAGATTGGATGTAAATTGAAACTAGAAAAATTGGAAAGAAATGGCCTTGTCAGTTTTCATTTTTGGGTGGGAATTGCTATTATGTTACTCTTAGTAGTGTTATATGATTTCTTAAGAACTTTACCTTTATGCAAACAAGGGAGAAGAGATGGTTCAAATGTACTTTAATTGAACCTTAGAGGAAAAAAATAAGGTAGATAAAAAGGGTGACTCGATCGAACTTAACATGAAGTGAGAAACAAAGTCAAAAGTGTAAGAAAATAAAAAAAGTGAAAATAAATTAAGTAAAGTTTCTTAGAAAGAAATAAGATGTTGAAGGTTGAGTTGCGTAAAGACTGAAAGTATGTGAGGTACACGGTTGGAATGTACTTCAAACTTAGCATGAGAAGGAAACTTACTTGAATTTTATTGCAGAAGAATAGTATTTTGTTTCTATACATGATTTAGTGATTTGGCAAATAACTCTTTTTTAGTTAGAATTATTTTACAATCTGAAAATGATAATTGATTTGCATATTCAGAACATTTCTGTTTATAAAGTCCAATATAAGATGAAGTTACAATATACTTATCAGAAGAGATGTGCATAAGTCGAATCCAATCGAATTTTTTAAAAAATCAAATTGAATTGGTTTAAATGGTTCGGTTCAGTTCAAAAGTGGTTCGGTTCGGTTGAAAATGGTTCGGTTCGATTCGAAACCGGTTTGGGTCAACTCTATTTAAAAAAAAAAATTTATAAAAATCAATTTGGTTCGGTTTGAAAAACGGTTCGGTTCGGAAACGGTTCGGTTCAAAATGGTTCGGTTCTTAAACTGGTTCTAAAAATCGATTCTTTAAAAATCGGTTTAGTTCATGAATTGATTTTTAAAAATTGGTTATTTTAAGGGCGGTTCAGTTCAATTTTTTGATTATTTTACACACCCCTAATATTTATTTCTTTAAGTTGTACATAATACACCACAAAAAATACCTTTCAGTTTGTTTCCTTGTGCAGATCTAAGTATTTTCAACACGGGTCAAATCCTATTAAAATATTCAAGCTAGATGAAGTCATTAGCAAGAAACTTGAGTCTTTTTATTAAATGCACTCCGAGTAATGAGTAGTAGTAGCATGCATGCTATAGGTCTAATTAAGTATATACAAATTGTCACATACAAATTATTCATTATTCACATGAAATTATGAAATATCATTGTTTAATAAAGTGGGGTGTGAAGGGTGAGCTGTTTTTGTGGGAATATCTTCCAAAGAAGTTGTAGCAATGCAGCAATGAACTAACCCTATTGCAGGCTCTAACAATGTGAAAATTTCAGTGGTGAAAGCCACCCAAGATCTGGGGCTTTGAAAATGTTTCCAATTTGGATATGGACATTACAACTTGATATACACACAGTGGTTGCACTAACCAAATCACAGACCGTACAACTGAAAATTGACCTGAAAATCCTTAAATTAACGACAATCATAAGTGTTAAATCCACTATTCAATCCTTAATCAACTCAACAAAGCTTGATTGGGTGACTCCAAAGCATGTAAGTTGGAAACACACAAAATCAATCACAAAATAATCATTAAGCAATAGAAACCACTAATGTAATCCTGCATCAACATCAATCTCATTACTATAATTGGGTATAATGAATAAAAAAGTACCCAACTTGCATTGTGATATATTACGCTGTTGCTTGAAAAAATGAACTTCACCAAATGCCATTACATCAATTTTCCAAGTGTAGGTAACAAAATGTTCCCTCTAACTTTCTTTGCTTCTAATCTTATTTAGAAAGTATAAAGACTGAGTTAAACCCTTTCCTCCTTTTTCTTGCTGGACCTGTGGGCCCTGAATGAACCCACTTGTAGGGCCCAAGAAGATGGGTTCATGTTGTACCTATTTGCTCAGCAACTCATAATTAATGTCCGATTCAAAAAGGTTTTAATTTTTTTTTTAAAATGATTTAGAATAGAGAAATGATACTTGTATATACTTTAGTTATTTTTGTCATTAGATGATTTACTTATTTTTAATAATTTAAATTGTAACATAACTCACATAATTTATGCTAATAACGTTTAACGTTTTTTTAAAGATAAATCTTATCAAATTGGCCGAAATGAATTGGACATAACTCATCAAGTCACATTTTACAAAAAATAAAAAAAAATTAATATGACGCATTGGTTGTTTGAAATTTAAGTGCTAGTGAGATGTGGTGAAAACCTTAATTTAGATAGAAATAGAAACAATGAAGATTTCTAAGTATAAAAAAGTAAACATTTAATGTTTTAAGGTTTTGAATAAAATATAGGGACTAACGTATGCTGTTTTTTGTTTTTGTTTTTATAAATGACAACTATCTATAACTTAGAGCCCATTTGAATTGCTTTATTAAAAAAACTGTTTTTATGCCTTTTTTTAGAAGTAATTTTTATAAAAGTTAAAGCTGTTTATATTTTTTTAAAAATATTTTGCTTTTGATTTCTATTTTTTTAAAAGTTAAAATTTTTGGTTTTAAAAAAAAAATAGATTTTTGATTTTTGAGATTAACAAGTGTAGAATTAGTGATATTTGGACACAACGTTGACTTTTATACCCTATTAGGCCATAGTGTTAGGTAACAAGCAGAGCCATACAGGATTAAAAGAAAAAGCTCAAACGCTTTGGGATGTCAAAACAGTGATTACACGTAACACGAAACACGACACGAATCTTTATTCGTGTTAAAATTTTCAATACAAACATAACATGAATTTTTGCTGGTTGATACGACATAATACGAATGTCACAGCAAACTATAGATCAAAGTGGTAATTGACAAAAAAATTAAAAAAATAGGTTGAAATTAAAAAAAAAAAAATCACAAATATTTTGCATGTCATTTTTCTCAACATGAACACGACATAAATTTTTTTGCAAGTTAATCAAACACAAATTTTCATAGTGTCACGGATTGACCCGTATATAATAACCTGTTTTGACGCCCATTATTAAACCTTAAAGAAGATCAACCGTAGTGCACACCAAACAACATTGAATACATATCAGCTTGTATACTGTGTAATTTCATTTTGTCAGACATATTTAGCTTGAAGGAATATGAACACTCGCAAGACAAATGCTACTATCGTCATAATATAGTAGGACAGATACCTCATGTCACACTGATAAAAAAAACTAGTTAAGTTTCACATAATGACACCATAAACCATGTCATTTTATTCATTCACATAGTACCATAGAGTAGAAAATTATCAAGTGCCCCTCCCCCAAAAAGAAAAATAAAAAATCCTCAGTTTTAACTTGTGCTGATTACTTTAAGTGGAATTATGCAGTGTGGGAGCAGGTGAAAGCACACGTGCATTCTTCTCAATTTCCATGGTGATCTTTGGGTCCATAGGCTTCCTGTTCAGAAAATCTGAGTACCATTCAGCAGAGAGCTTAGGGTGTCTCCTCAAGTCTGGATCCTTCACATCTATGTAATATAGGCCATAACTTAATTCATATCCACTTAGTAACTCGAATGCATCCAAAAAGGACCATACAAAATAGCCTTTTACATTCAATCCACTCCTTTCAATGTGTCAAGAATAAAGGAAAAGAAGAGGAAGGAAAAAAAACATAGTTAGCATTCATGAAACAATGGACAGATAAACTATAGAGGTGTCATGTTAAGACATCATACACCCTTTGTAACGTCCCTACTTGAAAATGAAAATCAAAGTAGAGGTACCTCAGTGCATCAACCATGCTCCCAATATATTCATGCAAGTACTTAACCCTCGGCCAGTCATCCAATGATGAATTTCGAAGTGTTTGTTGGCCTGCAAAGCTCAAAAAAATCTTACCACACTACTTGATAATTGGAACCTTGAATTTGTTAATAAAAGAAATGTGAAGCTTTTGTAATGATGATTTCAGGGAGATACAAAGATCATGTCATAAATTGTTGGAAAATAAGAAAATCGCTATACCAATTTCGTGTATGTAAATTGGAAAATTGCCATAATTGTTCTTCAATGAGTTTAGCACCCCTTGCAAACTCCAGGTTGTGATTGGAATCTAAAAGAACCATCTGGTTAGTGGAAAGCACTGAAGATCCATCTTCAGAAAAAGAATAAAAAGAAATAAACAAAGAACTGCACCATTTTCCTAGAAACTCTACTCTTACCTCACATGAAGATGCATCGTTTTGATCAAGTCCTACAACCAAAAGAACATTAGTTTGCTCTCTTACTACAACTCATTAAAGCTACTGTTGAAGCAAATAATAGCAAGAAAATATGTCTATCCATGTACAAGAAGTATCTTGATTCATAAAGTTGAGGATGAGATATCAGAGAACAAGGAAACATCTATGTATGAGTAACTTGTTAAAGCTCAATGTAGAATAATGTAATCAGAACAGCAGGAAACGTGCAATAACATACTGTCAAGTTCCACTGCAATATCTGCATTGAAATCTCTATCTTCCTTGAGCAGGCTGTCAGGATTGTTCTTAACATAAAATGTGTAGTAAAAGTTTATTCCTAAGAAATCAATTGAGCCCTTAACCATATTTGATTCCTTTTGGGTGAAGGAAGGAAGCCTTGAGCCAACATTCTTTTTCATTATATCAGGGTAATCTCCAAATGTAAAGGGATTTAGAAACCTGCAATAGCAAATCATAGACAAAGCCTACAGTTACAATTAATGTATAATTGAATGCTATGCCTTCTATTTGATTGGGAAAAAAATGTTGGATTTATACGAAAATATCCTTTGTTACAAAACTATAAGAGATACAAAATCATTCTCTGACATTCATCTATTGTATGTAAACATCAAGGGGTACTGATTTTGATCATTGTCAACACATTCTTTATAATTTAACTTAAAGGTACAGTTGCATGTGTGTTGACCATGTTTTAAGCTTGAACTACTCTTATACGAAGTGACATGTTAGATGTTGGATGTATTAATAATATAGTGCAAATAATATGTTCACATACAATCCCAATAGGTGAGAGCATGGTTATTTGAATCCATATGGACTGAGGCCTAATCGCTTGAATTAACTCCAGGGTTTTCCCTAAGCAGAAGATAATACGGTTGAGCATTCTAAATCTGATGTCTCGAGTCTTGATGTAATACTTCAAACACCTCTAAACCCTTCTCTCTCAAACCCATAACCTCCAAATATCCGTTGTCTTCACTTAACAGTTTGTGTTTTATTTTTATATTTTGGGGTGAAGTTGGCCCTTTGCAATCCCAGAATGCAAAATCGGGTGTCAACAGACATTAGAGAGAGATATCATTACCAGATTGTTACTTACCATCCGTTACTGAAGTCTTGGACTCTTTGAGTGGCACTTATATCTTCACTAGTATTTGTTAGTGGAACAAGACCAAAAGTAAGGAGATTGAAGCCAATAAACCCATGCTGCATGCCCTGCATTTAACAAAGATTTGTTTTCTGAACAAATTATATGATGACTATCACCATTTCAATATGACATCATCATGATCATCTCATATGCTATCCTGTTGATTATGGTCCAAAATGCAAATGGAAGGCCTAATGAGTGACAAAGTTGAGTGGTGCATGTTATGTACAAGATAATATTTACCTGGTATTTCTTCCTATACAATCTGGCAGCTGAAGCATGTGCTAACAACATATGATGGGCTGCCATATATGGCTCAGTTGAGGAATTTCCTCTGGAGCAGTTAGTTATAGAGGAAGGAGAACACCGCTGAGGTGGTAATTTTCCTGAATCATAGCCTCCAATTGCATACACATTGGCCTCATTGACCGTGGTCCAATGCTTAACTCTGTCACCAAATTCTCTGAAGCACACATCCGCATATGCTGTGAAGTCTTTCCTACAAGCATACACATATTGATACTTTAATCACAATAAAAACCATTTCTCAATTTTGTGCCAGATGCACTTGGCATGATTTTTGTCTAGCACAAGATGGCAATACAATTAGAGACTTGGAATTTGGGAACCATACACAATTCTTCGACTAACCCATCCTCCATATTCATCCTCAAGTGTTTGTGGCAGGTCCCAATGCTGTAATGTAACATGTGCTTGGATTCCTACAAGATGAGGAAACATCAACACAAACAATTACATATCAGCATATATCTTGGAAGAACCTCTCTTAGGTGTTAATCAAAATTTAAAAGGAAAATCTAGTCTTCACAACAACCATGACTTAAGAGTTCATTGATAAGGTTGTTGTAATACTGTAATCCCTTGAGATTGACTGGTCCTTTTCCATCTGCTAGTACATGAAAACAAGTTGTTTAGAACAGTAATCGACATAAAATTTTGATCAAGGCAACTACATTCAAATGAAGTCAGAGATTCATTGCGCCTAAACCAAAACCATGTGTGAGTCAAATACAGAACTTTAGGCATTGATTTAAGAATCTCTCATAAACAACATATTGGTAATATTACCTGGAATAAGTCTAGACCATGATATGGAAAATCTATAAGCATCTAAGCCCATGTTTGCCATGAGTTGGACATCTTCCTGAAGGAAATCAAGGTTAGGTATGTAATTAGTGCAAAGTATTTTTAAGTTGAACAACATCAATTTAAAGCCAGTTATATACATATGATGCATCTTGTGCATGCATATCCCACTTTTTTCTGATTCTCTATACATATATTCCAAAGTCACAGACCTTATATTTATGATATTGGTCGCATGCAATATCTCCATTACCTTCGTACATATTCCCTGAAAATATATTTGAAATCTTCATTTTTTTAAATTAAAAACTCAATTAAGAAATAGAGGATATTATATAGGGACAGGTTATATTTACAAACTTTTACAAACTACACTATATTCTCCCGGAAGAATACAAACTTTTACAAACTACACTATGTTCTCCCGGGAGAATACAGTGTAAATTGTAAAAAAATTCAAAAAAGTTTGTAAACGGATCCTGTCCTTATTATATATGTGAAAAGAGGACTGAACCATTTCCAGCATGAGCAAATGTATCCCATATGCTTGCCTTCCTGCCATCATCATCTGCAGCACCTTCAACCTTTCACATTACCCCAATTATATAAATATATGGTTAAATACTTAATCAGCAACAGATAGAGTGGTTTAATACTTAATCAGAAACAGCATCAAAAGACTAGTACAGTGAAACAAGAAATAGATTGAGAGAAGAACCTGATAAGCTGAGGTTGATGCACCAAAGACAAAGTCAGAAGGGAAGTCATCTCTGGTGAAGGTATAAGCAGAGGGGAGCAGTGCTATTAACACTGCTGTCAAAGCAAACACCTTCAACATCAACCCCATACTGCTTATGCTTTCAGCTGTGTTTTCAGTCAATCAACCATATATTTATTGAATTCTTAGTAGTCAAATGTGTATGTGCTTCTTTTTGAATTGTATAATCTAGCTTGTTTCATTCAGATGATGTATATTGATGTCAGAAAAAACAAGACATGTATAACACTACGTGTTGATTCCTTACCCAACAAAGTAAAAGAAAAAATGTTTAATTAATTCACGTGGGACTTTATGTTTGTTTTTAATGCTGCTGCAGGATGTTAACTAGTTATTGGCCTTAAAATTAACACTTATTAGAGTTTATACTAATTAATCTTGTTTAAGAAATTTATACATACGTTCTTAATTTGTTATTTACAACAAGAAATGATATAAGAATTAAGAATCGTATATAAGAATAACATACAATACGTAAGATTTATATAATTTTTCAAATAAAGAGATATGTCAGGTATAACATAAAGTGAAGAATGCAAAAAGGTTATCAATTATAATAAACATTAAGGTAAGAACTTTATGGGTATTATTTAATACTTTATTAGGGAATCAAGAAAAACACATTATATAAGGAAATAGTGCTCTGTTTTAAGAATAAAAGAGTAAGAGCCGTGTCAAAGACTTCTAGCGTGTAAAAGTTGAACGCGACGTGCTGAATATGATAAAGAGAAAAATGTTTATGCGTGCTGCACGGAAAAAAAAAAAGAATAACCATGTTCGATGTGATTTTCGAGAAACTTGCTTCCAAGTTCTCCAAATAAAATATGGAGTTTGTATTTTTCATTTAAATCACATAATAAATTTTTCTACACACATAATATTTTGTGGGATTCACATTTTTTGAAGAAAAAAAAAAATTATGGCACGCAAAACGAATCTTTATAACATTACACACTCACTTTTCCTACAACATAACTCTTATAGAACCCATAAAATATTGTGTATATTTTTGTTTAAAAAAATTTACATGGTTTGATCGTGTAAATAATATAAGCATCATACAAAAAATGAACTCAAAGAAGATATATATCTTTAAATTTTTTTGTTAGCCACTAAATTAAACTATAAAAATTATAAATTTTATTTTTTTATTATACTAACTTTATAGTAAAACGATTTATAATTAATGTTGCTTTATTCTAATTTTTTATGAATATCAAAAAAAAATTTAGTCCTAATTATCAAATATTTATTGACATGAAAAATTTTCTTGATTCATTCCCTTGTATTATATTAGAGTTTTATTAATGTTATATTACATAACATAAATATAGTTTTCAACACACACAATAACGGGGAGAGAGAAAGTGAAATGATGAAAGAAAAAAAAATTATGTGGACCCCACCTCTTTAATGTGTGTTAAGAAAGTGAAGTTATGTAAAATAATAAACATAAAACCCATTATATTATTACGTTGGTGTTGTACATATACATAGCAAAAAAAATTATTTAATAAATTAATTACGCATTTATTACAGTTTTGAAAATAATTACGTATTTATTGCACAATAAGACACTCATTTTGGGCGTCACTCAAGAGGCAATCACGCCTAAATTTGAGCGTCAATCATCAGGTGTTGACACGTGTCATATGTTTTTTTAAAAAATAAATAATAATTTAATCATAAAACTTTCGAAGAAGGCCATAACTTTTGACTTGGGTATCCAAATCAGGTAATTTTTTTTTTATTTCACAAAACTTTTAAAAATCTACGCAATGACATCTCATTTGAGATATTTTATTTCTTACAAACACAATTTAAATTTGCAAAAATAGTATTATAAAAGCGGTTAAACCCAAAAGTCTCTGAGTTCTGGATTTGTGATTTAATATCAAAAAAGAAATCAAGATTTGATGTGTAATTTAAATTAAAAAATAAAAAAAAAATTATTTTTATTAAAAAAAATTTGATTTGTGATTTAAATTAAAATAACAATTATTATAATAAGGAAATCAAAATAAAAATTTGATTTGTAATTTAAACTCAAAAATCAATTTTTAAAATGTGTATTAATAAATAAAATAATTAAATAAATATTTTAAAACTCTAAAGAAGAAAAAATTTATTTTTAAAAACATTTATAAGTCATCATTAATTTCAGACTACGAATCAAATCACAAATCAAATTTTTAATTTAAATCACAAATTAAATCTTTTTTTTATATTAAATCACAAACCAGAACTCAGAGGTTTCTGAATTTAACCGTTCTTATAATATCATTATTGCAAATTTAAATTATGTTTGCGAGAAATAAAATATATCAAATAAGATGTCATTGCGTAGATCTTAAAAAGTTATGTATAATCAAAAAAATTACCTAATTTGTATACCCGAGTCAAATGTTATGGCCTTCAGAAGTTTTATGATTAAATTATTTATATTTTTATTTTAAAAATACAACGTGTCAACACTTGATGAGTGATGCCCAAATTTAGGCGTGATTACCTCTTGAGTTACGCCCAATTTAGGCGTCATTGGTGACGCCCAAAATGAGCGTCTTATCGTGCAATAAATATGTAATTACTTTTAAAATTGTAATAAATGCATATTTAATTTATTAAAAAGCATTAAATAAATTTTTTTTGCCGATATGTATATGTACAACACAAACAAAATAATATAATGGGTTTTATTTTTATTATTTTAAATAACTTCACTTTCTTACACACACGTTAAAGTGGTGAGATCGACATGATTTTCTTTCTTTTTCATCATTTCACTTTCTCTCTTTCCATTACTGTGTGTGTTGGAAACTACATTTATGTTATGTAACATAACATAACTCGATGATCACAAGTTAATAAAGGAAAAACAAAAAACAAAACAAAACAGCTGAGTGGTATATTACACATTACTGGTATTAGCACAAAAAGTAAAATAGCAAAGGCAAATAAAAAAAGAGTGTAAAGCTGAATTAGACCTCAGACATCCAAGGAAGGAATGTAGCAGCATTAGCTCTCAAGCCTGGCGAAGGCGAAAGCTCTTAGGCGGCCACTGCGAATGTTTTGAGAAACAAGCCTTTGGATTTGTCATCATCGGGCATTTTTAACTAAAAGAACAAACTCAACATGATTCTTAAAGAGTTTAATTTTGATCAAATAACAGTTGGAAAAAAAAATTTGTCTCCACAGTTCTAATCACAATAGTTTCTTTCTCCTATCAAATGGGAGACAAAACAATGACAACAGAAATTATGAACCAGTATAGAATTAAGGCACTCATCAAACATATTAGCAGAACATAGGATTATAAAATCTTCAATAAACATCCACTACATATACATATCAACACATCCCATTTGGCAGAATACAAATTGGAACCTCAAACATGCAATACATCAGAAGCAAAATCAGCACACTAAGAAAAGAAAACACCAACCACTTGTAAACACTACAAAATAACCATAATGGCTAACCCATTCAACAATAGTACGAAATCAATGATAAAAATTTACAATATTCCATCCTATAATGATCAGCAAGATATTAAAAAAGAAAAGCTGACAAAGTGATCAGATGGATAAATTCAATATGAGGGACTTTGTTCATCCCTAAAGCACTCCATTATTCCTGCTAAAGGGGTAGACGAAAAGTCCCATAAAGTTCAAAGGGTAAAACTATCTACAATAATTAAAAAAATATATATATATGTACCCACTCATTCAAAACTACTAAAAGATTTTGCAATTCATAGAGAAATTAGATGAAATGCATACTATCAGCCAAAAAAAATGATGTTCGGCCTCATAGAGAAGATTAGATTAGTCTACATGAATAATTTCAGACATATGCTTGTCTATTTTCTATGATATAATCATTGGCCGACATACAACACAAAAAGGCAATGAAACTAAGAAAAACCTTTAAAAAAAATACATTATATAAATATCTAAGAAAATTTAACCCCTCAAAGAACAATGAAAAAAGAAAGAAAAAAAGGAACAATCGTTTGAATATAAAGGGGACTCAGAATATGGGTGGTGATATATCAGGATGGTCGGCAAGGCCCGATTAGGCCAATTACGACGAACGAGACCTTAATAACATCGAAATCGTCACTGTCCCGCTAATGTTTTAACTACCAACGAATAAAGCAAGTTCATAACCAAAAAGTCTAAGAGCATAAACAACGACCCCCAAATGCTAAGGAAGAGGGATGAGGATTAAAAAAGGATCTTTACGGAGGAATTGGAAAACCCTAAACGAAAAAAGACGAAACAGATCAAGGTGATAAAAGGAAGAGCTAGGGTTTTAAAGAGGAATCTTGACTCTAGAATGTTCGTGGGCTAATTCAAATGGGCTTATTCAACAACAAAAAATTAGTGGGCTTAATTAATAACCACAATATTATATTAAAAAAAAAAAAACAGAGCTACTTTTTAAATTATTGAATCAGTTTTTGAATTGAATAGTCATTATCATTTTTTGTTTTTATATTATTAAGCATAATTAAAATATTATTAATATAAATATACTTAAACTATATAAACAGAGTATTAATATTGTTGTTGTTGTTATTATGTGATTCGTTGTCAGTTGTACTTGTGCTTTTTGTAAAAAAAGGAATTAGAAATCCACTATAATATGAAAATGAATATGTCTTCTCTTTTTTCTCCCATCATTTCTTCATTTAAAAGTAAATACCATATAACAATATAAAGGAGGGGATTACTTCTCTAATGTTGTACGAGAGAAGTTTTCTCTAGTATGAGAAAAGTTCTCTCGTGTTAAGAGACAAATAAAATAGATCCTATTGATTTTTAGATGAAAAAAAAGACACATTTTTCGAAGTGAGAGTAACATGAGAAATCAATCTCATATAACATAAGAGTATGATTTCCCTCTAAAGAAAGAAAAAACTGGAAAATACAATTATTTTTCAACTTGTTACCACTCTAAAGCATAAACCAAATTTAAGATTATATATTTGTGTTGCTTGGGCATTTGCCCTCCTTCTTTACCAAAAATATAATAAAAAATTATGATTATATCTATTTTGTACATCGAAATTTCGAGCATTCACGTATCAACAGATTACAAGTGCATAAGGCCTTGTACGTTTCAAATTTATAGAGAATGAATTTTTTTTTCATATTAAAATTTTACATATTTAATGTCAATAAAAATTACAACTTAGTGTTCTGCATTGTGAATTTGAGACAATAATTTACCTTTAAAAAAAATGAACTTTAAAAAATTTCATCAGAAGACTATAATTTTTTTTATCAATGCTGTAAATGCTCTATTGATACACTTTATTCACTGATGCAGGCACACCCACAATTATAGCATAGAAAATTAGAACTTGCAATTTGGGCAAACTAAACCTTAAAAGTAATAGTTAATGGTTGCATCTCGTGTAGTTAGCTGGTTAATGATAACCACACAGAAATACTACATTAAGTGGAAAATCGTTCTACAAAATTGAATTGCTATAACAAGTGGGGAACCACTAGATTATACACAGGTAAAAATTCGAAACTCCAAGCAGAGAATAGAATTTTGTATGCCTGTCAAACAAACGCTAAATTCTACATTCTTACACACAAACGAATGTTACACATGCCATCAGAGTAACACTTTCTCAGCAATCAACGACATAAATTAAATACTAGCATTCGCAACACAAAATGATTGCATGGTCATTCTGATGGCTCCATATAATGATACCAAGGTACTAAGACAAGAACATCTACTATACCCTTCACTCTCAGCTTCTGCTGGGTCTACTTATATCCCCTGGTATAATGCGGGAATCAATAGTTGATAGGATCTGTGGCATTGACATGCCTCCCGAAACAACAATTTCTGCAAATTTTAAACATTCAAACATATGTTAAAACTAGAATGGAATGAATTAGATGTTATTGTTATTATTATGCCTTTTAGCATATCCAGGAATAGATGATAACCCCAAAAAATACACTCACTATAGACACATTCAATGCCTGCAACTTAAAATAAATAAACTAGCCTGGAAAATGATGGTTACACATATTATGAGAGGTAAGTGTAGAATCTAGACAGTATGTTGTGGTAGGAGTGAAGTGTCATCTAGAGACATGTAGAAAGAAGTATGTGACTAAGTGCATGTATAACTATCATTACTCATTAGTCCCTATCCTTCTATTAGTTATCCCCCAAATTTGCAAGACCAAAAACCTATATGTTCCTTTTTTAGTAGTTCGTAAGTAGAGGGAGCCGCAGAAAGGAGACTCAGTAAACAAACCATCTTCATAAAATAACCATAGTGAAAACTAAATAAATAAGCCTGCTTTGACTAATATAACTCGAGAGTTTGAGCAACTATAAAGACAAGAACCACTCACCAATTCCTTCACGAACTGATAAGTTTGGTCGAATGACATCCTTGGTGTTGACAAGAAATATATCACCAATATAAAGATGATTTGTAGGAACATAGACACAGCACAGCTCCTCGTCTCCAGAATAGTTCTGTAAAAATTTTAAAATTTTTAACAAAAAAGAGAGATTTAATTTCAACATGTAATGTGTAAAACCTTTATAAACACAGATAAACTTCAAAAATTGACAATAAACCTGTTTAATCAAACTCTCAAGTCTCAAAGCATCAAATACTTACTCATGTTAACTTTCCAATAACTTAATGCATATATTTCTTTAAAGATACACTACACAACAATAGAAAAAGAACCTAAAAAGCTAAATGGCAACTAACATCACAACAATAATGGATGGAAGGGATGGCAACAATTGGAAGCAATATGATTCATAAAGTAAATGATCATATGAACCTGTATATCACCCAAGCAAGACATAGATTAGCATACTATCAACAAGCATGAAGCAATAAAATAGTCAAAACTTTTCCCTTCCAGACTGTGACACAGTTCCGTCAGAAAATAACTAAAATTACAGCATAAGCAACATTATACTATTTATTATAGTAGTGACACCGGGGCATAAGTAACGAAACTCCAATTCAAGCAATGATGCAAGAAAAATCTTCTGAACTTAAAAGACACCAAACAATGAAGTTTCTCAGAAACCTGAAGGACAACAGATGAGGTGATGAATCCTAAAGCATATTCACCAATACGTGGATGCCGAATGATGGCTACTTCTTTGAAGGCTTGTGTATTTTGATCTGTGACAACACACATTTTACATTAACTGTTCTCACCCAATATTTCAGTCATACCAGTATCACAATTAAGAGTAAGATGTTGGCAAACACAAACCTGGAGAGATAGCAGCACTAATCTGCTTGGAGGCACTATAAATATGACGAACAAGTGGCATTCGCTTGATAAACCACTCCCCAAGGCCTAAGACAGACGCACCCAACCAGGATGACATGAAAACCCCGACCAAGAAGATGAAAGATATGGAAGTTATGAATCCAAGACCTGACCAAGAAGTATTAGCATATAATGTTGATGTGTTTAGACACAACAGCCAATGATATATCCATTTTCAATACAATCAATTGACTTTACATTGTTGCTCCATTGTACATTTCAACTTGCAATAAACACCCCTCTCTCTCTCTCTCACAAGGACAGCAAAATAGAAAAGAACAAAAAAGAAATGAATATTATGAAAACAAAATTATTGAAATATGCATCCAAAAAAACTATATAGTAAATAGCTATATTTTTAGCAGCCTCATGCAAAAAATAAAATTTCCTTAAAACAATCCCTGCTACAAGACAAAATAAGTTGTTGATCATACACATGCCAAAAGAAAAAACGGACACTATTTGCCGGGATGCAGGAACTTGGTTACACACAATCTTTACATGAGTAAGGGTTAGTAGTGAAGTATCATAAAACAGAAGCACTTACCAAAAATATCAATTCCAAGTTGAGCATATATTGGAGAGAAAAATCCATCCACGAAATGAATAAACCACCATGTTATATAGAAGGTGATAGCAATTGGAAAGAGAATGACACTGCAAAAGAACTAGCATTAAGTTATCACCAATTCACCAACAGATAAACAAAGGACCTAATGATTTCGAAAAAGAAAAAAAAACCAAAGCATCAACAGATCCCAATTCCCAATAAACACAGGTAACCTTGAGGCAGAAACATAATTCTGCAAACCTTACATGCGTACAAGCAGAGAGGTGAATATTGACAAGAACAAATATTCTTTGCATCAAGCTTTCTACATAAAATCATCTTTGATGAGTTAAAGTTCAAGTATTTCTCCATCACCTTGTCCTTCTAATTCCAATCAAGTGATGAGATAGCAGCGAGATTATTACATATTTTTGTGGTAATTATGTTGAGAATAGTCATAAAGGACTATAAATTAGTTAGTGGTGTTCAATAAGTGATCTGGAGATTTATGGTATAGATTCCAAAACCTACGCTTTTCGTTCAATAAGGATTTCCAAATAAATAAAAGAGTATCACTTTGATTCCTTGAATATTACTAGGAATATATATCCTCTCCTATTCGAGAAGGGAAGTAAGAGCTTTCCAACATACTGTAACTATTATGCACCGTAGCTTTCAGTTCATAACACAGCACCTTTAACACCAACACACCAGTAGCAACAAAATTCAGACAAAAAAAAGTTTAAGAAATAAATTACACTTTAAAGAATGTAAAGCATGCAAAGGACATATTTATTCCGGAAACGTAAATAAGATCATTAGCAAGGATATGCAACACATATCATATATCCATGCTTGAATAGCAAGATATTAGATTGAAGAAAGAATGCGCACCATCCAGTCATGAATTTTTTTGATGCCCAGCTCCTAACGACTTTGTAAAATGTCTACAAAATTGACGGAGACAACAAATAGCAATCTGTCAGACGAATAGTTATGAAGGCAGAGAACATTCTCATATGCCATGCAACTAAAAGAGTGGGATAACTCTTATATGGTATTCAAAATCATGAAAAACGAAAAACTGAAAGAACATTCACTTCATATATATATGAATGCACATCTAGGTGAGAACTAGTCAGAAGTCTTCAATTTACCGGTGACAAAAGTTCATCTACTTATGAAAAGGAAATTACAGTCCCATTCATTATATAGCTTATAATTAGCACTACACAGCTTCACTTTCTTACTAATTTCGCTATCCCATTTAATTCTGAAATCAAATTGATGCATGATACAATACAAACTCGGATTATCCACTTAAATCTTAGCTGTATTGAACCCTGACACTGCTCTCTATTTTGCAAAACCAATTTCTTGGTGCCCAAAGCATAGCATGAGCCTCATCCATGTTGTGAAATCAAAAAATATGATTGCCCCTCATTACATATCTTATCATTCCAGCTTATACAATCCCTAATTGGTTCATCAATTCACATAAGAATAAGGGGAAAAACAAAGCCAAATCAAAGTCAAACAAAGAAACTTACAAGTAAATCCCCAAAACCGACGCGTTCAACACAATCCAGAATAAGCAAATTGAAGATTAAAAAGAGCGAACGAGAATGGAATGTTTGCGGTACTCAATCATCACCCTGATTAGGGTAGAGGAAGAGATAATCACCTCGCGGCCAGCATGATGCGAGGAGGAGGAGGAGGAGGTGGTGGTGGTGGAAGAGGAGGCGCCGCCGTCGACGGCGGAGTCAGCGACGGGGATGAGAAGCTCTCGATCTCTGTCTCTAGTGGTGATTGCCATGGGGGGATTTTGATCACCCATCAAGCGATGCCGTTTTAGAATTCAAAATACAAAAAGCCTTTTGTTGTTTGCTCGCTGCTGCTTCTGTAACTCTTCCTTGCGTCCTTCGGAGAAACCGAAACTGCAACCCACAATCGTTAGAAAAAATAAAATTTAAATATTATTTTAATAATTATTTATGAAAACATAGCTAAACTAAAAGTATATTCAATTCAGATTTTAAAAGATTTTTGTCAGATAAATTTTTTTTTAGATTTTAAAAGATTATTTATAATTAGAGAGACTTTGGAGACTTTTTTAAAAGATTTTTTTTACAATCAAGATTACACAAAATTGGATTTTAAAGGATTTTAATAAATTTTATAAGATTTGAAAGGACAATACAGATTTATAAGATTTAAAAATCATATGAATTTTTAACAAACATTCAAATTACAAGAGCCAATAAAAAAATAACAAAGAAATGCAATTATATTAATAAAAAAATAAAATCTAATATAATTTTCTCAATAAGTAAAATTCATGATAAAATTTCGTTTGGAATTTTTTACAATTGATCTTGTAAATCTTGGGGTTTTTGTTCTGCGTGATGAGAGTTTTCTAACCACATATCACATGTATGTTTTCATTGAGTATTTCAAGAAAACTAAAATCTTAATTTCTGGGTTTTATTACATTAAAGTTTAGAAAATTTCTCAAGTTATTTTCAATCAATACATTGAATCCTTAAATTGCTTTGGAACTTTTGAAAAATAAGTTTTTAGTGATCTATTGGCACAAAAATTGTTTGAAATCGTTTCCTATAACGAAGGAATTTCTTTCATGAATGTATTGTTATGAAACATAGGGTTCATATTATGAAAGTTTCAATCTTTCTTTAAATCGATCTTGTTTCATTGATGTAAAACAAAAATTGGTTTAGGGATTTTCGTTTCTTGTTATTTTTCCACTATTTTATGTTGTTTTAAATACAAAAATCACATTTTTTGTGCCAAGAAAAATCGCGACTAATAACTTGAAAAATTATTTTTAAATTTCCTAAAATCGCTCTAAAAATTGCTTTTTTGAGATGGATTATATTAAAATCTTGTTGGGTTGTTGTTTCTGAGTTGTTTTGTGATGAAAATCGCTCAAAAATATGTTGTTTTTGAGCTTTGACGAAACTCTCATGGCGGAATCCAATTTCGAGCGGGTCGACCGGCCAAAGGAAGAAGAAGACACTGCACTAGAGAAATCTCAAGAAATCCTAGGGGTTAGGGTAAGATTGTGAGAGAGGTATCCTATTTATATTTCTCACTAAAAAGTCTCACGAAATCCGCACCAATAGATAATTCATTAAAATCGTTAGATTTTTGAATACCATAAGATTGCTTTTCCTTTGTTCAAAATCCTAATTGAATTCCAACGAATTGGACGGACTCTAAAATAATCTTTTAAAATCCTAATTGAATATCACGTGACTTTTTTCAATCTTTTAAAATCCTAATTGATTACCATTGAATTTTTTTGTCCAAAAATAATCCATTAAAATAATTTGAAATCTCAATCCAATACACCCCCATAAACTGAGTCATGCTCAAAATAGGACGTGACCACTCATGTCCAGTATGAGACTTGACCTATGAGAGAGATACGCCCTACATGGGGCGTGAGTCAAAAAGAGAGAAACACACCCAGTGTGGAGCGTGACCCAAGAGAGAAAAATGCCCTATGTAGAGCATGACCAGGGGCTTGCATTTTTTGGGCGTGACTAACTCAATTCTCCCCTATTTAAACCCCCCTCCTCTCAACACTCTTTACAACTCTCCTCTATTATAAATTATACTCTTACATATATTATCACTTGTTTATTCATACTCTATTTTGTGTTTTTTTTAATCTATTTAAGAATAAGTTTACATTTTGATTTTGTTCATGTTGTTCTATATTATAATGGTAGGAAAGTGAAATTTCGACGTGGTGTAGTTTTTGAAGGCAAGAAAAGGTCAACATGTATGAAGCAAAACTCAAAATTTGGCGAATTGCATTAGAAAATTCATCAAAAATTAGCTCTCGAAGGTAACCAACCTATCACTCTGGTCGCGACAAGATTATAGCAATCTGAACATTACATGGGCTTTCAAGTTATGGATGATGAAGATATAGATATGGTAATGGAAGAATTCTTTAACCAGTGAAGGAAAGATTATTTAGAATTCTACGTGGATATTGCCGGAGCAGAGGATAGAAGTTTACCTATGAGGTCAGTTGCTTTTAATCTCCACGTAATGCATTATCATGTGTTGCTCCATTTGTTAACATGTCTGAAGAAGATGAAAATGACCTTACTTGGGTTATGGAAGAGAATGATGATGAAGACGATGATGAAAATATTGCAATGGAAGATCATCTTCTTGCGGAGGATGCTAGTGCTTCGGACAATGATGAGGAATGTGGCCGGTCCGCGACTCAAATCCAGCCATATCATGATCGGGGGGAGTCTTGAGTCCCAGAACATCATGACATGGGCTTGAGTCAATTACCATAACATCTTGAAGGTATGTTAATAAACAACTTATATATACATATATGGTTTTGTTTATGTAATTTTTTCTTTTTGTTACTATTATTAATACATACATGCAGGTGATGATATTGTTACTCCTTTTTGGGATGAAATTCCACATTACACATACATTGATTGGGATCATCTAAGCGAACAATAATCTTATACCGAGGGTTCGGGATCAGTCTAGGGCCAATGGCAATTAGGGGGAAAGTTGTTTGTTAAGTAGGAATTTGCATAAAAAAAGAGAGGCTCAGATAACAATCAAGTGGAAATATCATAAAGGAGCATTAAGAAGCGATTGTGGGGTATATATTATAATTCTCTATAATTATCTTAAGTCACTAATCCTACCATACGTCACTAGCAATTACCTGAGCCACTAACAATTTCCTAAGTCAGTAACAATTATCTAAGTCACTAAAAATTTCCTAAGTCAGTAACAATTATCTAAGTCACTAAAAATTTTCTAAGTTACTAACAATTTCTTACGTACTAACAATTTCCTACGTCACTAGTATAACATATCTATTGATATAATTGAAAAATATAGAAAACAGATATTGAGACTTACTTGACTAACAGAGCTTTGCTGCACAAAAAACTCAAAGAGAAATCTAGAGAGAAGCCAGAGCAATATTTTAGAGGAAATGTGTGAAGTGAAAAAGTGAAAAAGTGAAAAATGAGGGTTTATATAGGGTTCCCAAGTCACGCCCCACATAGGGCGTGTCTTTCTCCTTGGTCACACCCCATGCTGGGGGTGAGTGGTCACCCCATTTTGGGTATGACTAACTGCAATAGATCCGTTTTTAGTTTCAAAATAGCTATATTTTCGTAAATAATAATTAAAATAGTAATATTTAAAACTTTTTGCCACAATCAATCTTCTCTTTCTTTCTTTTTTTTCTTTTTTAAATTTTTGTTTAGCTATTAATCTATAGGGATATTATTTCTCATGAGACTATGAGACAATTCGTTTTTTTGTGTGATGCATAAGATAAATTGTCTCATGCAACATGAGAAACAATATTCCCTTAGTCTATATAGGATAAGTTATTCTAGGACAAATCCATAATATTTCACAAGAAAGTTTGGGGGCTAATTAACTAAGTGTCGGAAATTGACACATAAATCGAGAAAACATAAAGGAGAAAGGGAGAGAAAAGCGACACAGTAATTTATCATAATTCACTCAATATAGGCTACGTTCAGCTTGTTTGTACTATATTCATGTAACAAGTCATTCGATTTACAAAGAAATATGAATAAAATTTAGATAACCCTAATAACAACTATTTATGGTCTTAAGTCCAAACTACTAAGGAAAAAAACTCAATTGGCTTTCTGCTGACCCCACAAACAAAGTCTTTCGTCGGAATGCGAAATAGGAGTCATACCCAACACTAAGGGCTTACTTAGGTACTATGCAATTAACAAAATAGTTTTATTTTTGTTATTGAAGACAATGGGTGATATTAAATCACTAAGAGGTTTGAACCCATGTATAAAGCAGAAGAGATGGATGATCAAAATTATCACTGTGCAATAATGGAAAAATAGAACAAACTTACTTGTTGTCAATAGTATGGAACAGACAGATGAAGAGTAAATGCATAATTAGAATTAAATCTGTCCCACAGAACGTGTCTCCTTAAGACAATTTGCCCCCTCACTGATGCCAAAGGTTGATGGACACTTGTCTCCTAAGATAGAACGAATTTCGTCTGAAGAGTGGCGGCACTACCAGTCAACAGCCCAAACGAACACAACAATATGCCAGAAGGATTACACCGGATGAAGAACAGAAATATGCAAACCGGAAGGGAAGAAAAATTCCGGCAGAGTTTAAGTGAAAAAAACTGGATAGGATTTCTTGGGGGGGTCAGTGTCTATTTATAGATACTGACCGGTCATGATAAACCGCCGTGACTGACGGTCGCGAACGGGTGCAACCGGTGACCGGTTCGGTGAGCAGACACAACCGGTGACCGATTCACGAAAGGTAAGAACTGATTCGGTTCAAAAATGCTCAAAAAACCGGAAGGGAAGCAACGGATAGTCCAGGGGCATTTTTGGACAAAAAATTAAAAAATTATTTAATAAAAAATTATTTTTAATTACATATATGAACCGAACCGATTCGGCCGGACCAGTTCGGTGAGCAGACAGTACACAACCAGTGACCGGTTCGGTTCAAAAATGTTCAAAAAATCGACAGAGAAGTAACGGATAGTCAAGGGGCATTTTTGGACAAAAAATAAAAAAATTATTTTTAATTACACATATTAATCCCACCTAGCTCCTCCCCTTTAATAGACGGACGGCGGCACGTGGTGAACTTAAGTCCACCTAGCTCCTCCCTTCCACAAAACGTGTAGTGACCCAAAGGCCAATTTTGGAGAGTGAGGTGAGAGCTTATAAACTCTCTCACCTCCTACTAATTATCCAATGTGGGACTTCTTAAACCCACACACCCCTTCAACTTCTCTTTTCTCTTTCCTTCCTTAACCCACTTCTTATTCATAACCAATGGATTGTGAACATAAATTGCAACAATTTTCATATCTGGAG